TATATATATATATGAGAAAAATGGAAAAACTTGGTACTAAGTTGCTCTAAGCAACTTGGTAGTGATATGGCATAATCTTGTCCCTACATCTACATTGGAGTTGGTGAAGGGTGGTTGAGGCTCTATCTTCGAGGTGTGATGTAGGGGCAAGATTAGGCCACATCACTACCAAGTTGCTTTAAGCAACTTGGTACCAAGGTTCTCCATTTTCCTCTATATATATATATGAGAAATATGGGTATGCTTGGTACCAAGCATAAATTTTGTGCTTGGTAGTGATGTGTCACATCCCCATCCACTCATTACCCATGTGAATGTGGTCTCATATTTGAATGAGTGGAGGGAGATGTGACACCTCACTACCAAGAGGCACAACTTTTGTACTTGTCCGAAGTATAACTCAATATTTCTCTGGCTCTCTCCTGCTCTCTCTATATATATATATATATATGTAATATATATAATTTATAATATATATATATATATATATATATATATATAATATATAATATATATATATTATTATATATATATATATATATATATATATATATATATATAATATATATATATATATTCATGACGAGGCTTTCGGCCGGCCACTGAAAAAGGAGTATCACGATGAGTGCATATTCTAGTACACTTTTTATCTCCACCAAATATACACTATGGGAAAAATTTACTTCACTGTCTAAATTTTAGATAACAACTTTTCAGCAATACATTATGGAGATGTCACTCTTGATGGTCTTTGCTAATATATTGGTTAAGAAGTCCACTAGCGATAAGCTAATCCTACCTTGCAATTAAATAGAGCTTAACCAGATAGTTTACCTAATATTAATAAAGTTGAAGTTTTGAACTATTGTAATGCTTGTCAATTTTGGGAATTTCTGAAATTTAATATTAGTTGGCTTGAAAACATACTTGTTCTATTCTTGTTGCTACGTGAGTTGAGAATGTTGGAGTCATTTTCACTTCTTTTTGGTGGTAAGTGATTCGTATTCCATACTTGGATTGATCAAAGAAAAGGAAAGATCTTTTTTCGGCAAACAATGGAGGAAACTTGTGGTGATGATGAAGGCTCGTGTTTCTTTCTCCTATGTTCATCAAGAATAATGGAAAATGTATATTAATATTGTATGTCTTCTCTTAAGCCTGAAATTTTCTCTGCACTATGCTTCTTATTTGGTGTGTTGTATGGTGGAGGTGGCTTGATCACGCATATCTTATATTATTGTTTTCTTAAGGATAAAGAAGAACAGGAGGTCCTTATCCTTCAACTCAAGGAAAAAAAAATAACAGGGATATATATATTATTAATTTCAATAGTGCCTGTAAAAATTACAAAATTCTCGACTCAACATATTTTAGGAGTGACTTCGTATTCTGTAATCTGTTTGAGATAAAAGACTTTGCTCTTGTTACTATTGTTATCTTTCTCGTTTATAAAGATAAATAGGGAGTGACTAGGATGAGAAAGAGGCTAAGCTTTCACGGATGAATCACATTTATTGGAGTCCTTCCAATTATCCTCTTTAAAACTAAATGATAAAACAAGAACACGAGTAAGGGAATCTCATTAAATAAATTATAGAGGAAGTCAGAGCAAAATAACCCTTGGCCAGTAACACTATGCCTAAAATCCCTGACTTTGGAGCGGTTAGTTTCAAGTAGTTGGCCTATCCCCACATTAAAAAGCCTCTCTCTTCTAGCCAACCTCCCTTTGCCAAGGGCCCCACACAATCCTTGCCAAATTCAACTCATTCTCAACTTAAAATATTAAAAAATAAAAACCCCAAAATCCCTCCTATTTCTATACCTCCTCTCCTCTCCAATGCAAAACACCATGGGTGAAGCAAACAAGCTCCTAAGGAGCTCAATCCATGCCTTCTTCCAAAACTACACCTCCTTCATCTCCGTCGCCGCTCTCCTCCTCCTCCCTGTCTCCTCCTCCTTCCTCCTCTCTCAAGCAATCCTCACCTCCTCTCCCTCCACCCTCCATTTCATCTCCTCTCGCCTTCGCTCTTTATTCCAAGCTTCATCTTTCCCTTCATCATCCCCCCTCTTCCCCCTCCTCAATCTCTTGCTCTCCCAAACCCTCTTCTCCTCTATCTTCACCCTTCCCTTCACCCTCACCTTCCTCCTCCTTGCGAAGGCCTCCGTCGCACAAATTACTCCGAAAAACCCCTTCCCTCCCTTCTCTTCTATCCTCAATCTCTACCCCACTCTTTTAACAACCCACATCTTCAGTTCCTTCATTCTTCTCTCCGCTAATTCTTCAATCTTTGTAACCCTCTTTCTCGTCTTTAACATTGCAGAGCTTGTCGGGGTTTCTTCCGATGAATCTCTTTTGATCATTTCTCTGATCGGTGTCATTATCTACTCGATAGTTCTCGCAAATACGGTGCTGATTTGTAACCTGGGACTCATTGTATCGGCGATGGAGAATTGCAGCGGCTACGTCCCTCTGCTTAAAGCTTGCTTGCTAATGAGGAAGAGGGTTGCGACCGCGCTGTCCCTTGCTTTGCCTACGAATTTGGCGATGGCCTTGATTGAGGCGCTGTTTCAGTACAGAGTGGTGAGGTTGTATCATGTGTCGAAGAAATTGAATATGGCAATTGTATGTGAGGGGTTCTTGGTTGCGTATATGCATTCTGTGGTTATGGTTGTCGAGATTATCGTGAGTTGCTTGTTTTATAAGAGGTGCAGGTTGAGTAGTGGAGAGGATTGGGAGGAGGGGTTCGGGTACAGAATTGAGATGGAACCCGAAGATAAGGAGGAGGTTTGATTGATGACCGATTCATTGTACAAAGTAAAGATTATATGTTGATGAGACGCGAAATTGCGAGGTATGTTGTTAAGCGTACAGCAATTTCAAAGTGTAAACAGGGGTTATACGACATAAATTATGAGGTTATCCCTTTTTTTTATTCAACTATTACGGTGCACGTGCTTCGGACGAGAGAGCATACTTATTTTGTTTTATGTTTTTCAATTTTTTGTTGTTAGCCACAAAATAATGAAATGACTTGCATAGTAATATAAATTACGAGCAATCACAATTTTGTTTAAATGAATAAATTATATGATAAAGCTATTTAAATGAATAAATTATGTGATAGAACTATGTATAAAGAACTGTATGATTAATTATTATAGTCTGGATAATTATTATAATTATTCATAATTATTAAAATTTAATTTAATAATTAGTTTGTTGTATTATTAGTAAACAATTTACTAAAATTTATAATTATTAAATTGATTTAAAAACACTATTAAAATCATTATACGATTAATATTATTGTAATTATAATAAATACAAATTGTTTTTTATACTATTATCATACTTTTAAGAGGCTAATAAGATAAAATGTAACAGGTAATTCTCCATAGGAGGTGAAACCCAAATGCACAAGGCATGAGCCTGATGAACTTTTACTTATTTTTAATTTTTCTAGAATTTTAAATATTAAGTGAAGATAAATTAGGGACAAATTTGAATTTTTCTATGAATAACATATTTAAATAATAAAATAATAGTGTGACCAAAGGTTTCAAAAAAGTGAGGAAATGCATAATTAACAAGAGGTTATAATATATAATTAATGAATGATTAATTATAACCAATGACATATTTGAGAATTATCAAACCTAAAAGGGTAAAAATAAAAATCAAAAGTTTTGACAAGACAATCCTATTTTATATGTAGTATAGATTAGTTTTTTGCTTATGCCATTAACTCCTCTAGTTTTTCGGTACGCACAATGCGTACGTGACATACAAACATAGGGATGGATGAAATGTGAGACTTTTTTGGATTTTTCCAAGTTCATCTGTCTAATGAGTTTTAAAGTATTCCAAATTGCGAGGATATTTTCTTGCGTTTATAAAAGTATTACTCTCATGATCAAAATACTAGTTTCCTGCAAAATAATAGTACCAGATAAATGAATCGTTTTTGTTTACTAGTTATATTAAAAATTTGAAGTTGGATGAGTGTTATAATTTTATACACTAATATGCTATTAGAAGATGAACATAGTTTCATTGACTTAGGGGGTGTTTGGTTACATTTCTATAAATTATAGGAAATGTTTTCCATCACAAATTTGATTTTCTTGTATTTCTTAAAAAAATTATAGGAAAAGTTTTGAGAAGTTAAAAAGTATAAATTTTCTTATTTTTTGTATTGTGCTTGTTTGGTTCAAAACAAGAAAATGAGAAATAACTTTTGGGAAAATAGCAACATTTTCTATAATTTATAGAAATGTAACCAAACACCACCAACTTTATAGAAAAGTGAGAACTTTGTAGAAAAGAGTTAATGAGTTTTATTATTTAAATAATGAATGCGTCAGATTTCCAAGAGATTTCCTCCCATTTTAGAAGGAAATCAATTTCCATAAAATTTGGTATTTTTGGACACTTTACAGAAAATATTTCTGTAAATTTTTTTGGAGCCAAACACAGTTTATAGAAATGTATAGAAAACTCTTAATTACATAAATGCCATGCGTCAGTACTTTTGAGAAAACATTTCTCAAAAACAATGCAACCAAACACCCCCTTACCCTTGGACTCATATAAAAAAAAAAATCCTTTCGAAAATGGGATTTAAATGTATGGTCATTGAAGTTTGAGCCTGGATGTACTAGTATCATAATAAAGTCCATTCCACTGTGCTAAAAGTGTTAAAATTTGATGACAACTCGTTGATTGCCTTCTTCTCACTTTATATGAGCACCGTGAGGAAATCCACCTCTTGCAGTCCTTGAGGAAATGATCATGGTTTAGTGACGACATTTGTTGAAAAGCATTAATATGATGTCCCAGAGTTCCCTTCAAGCCAAACTCTATAGGCATTGTGATCTCTAATACGATTAACTCAAAGGCCCACAAAATTGTTTTGGACATTTGTACGTAAGGCCCTAGCTTGGCACACGTGTAAAAGTCACAGGGAGGGCCTACCCTGCGCACTAGTGGCCAGCGCACCGCTTGCGTTACGCCGTGGTTCGCTGATGCTCGTTTGTTTTTGTTAATTGTTTGTTTGGCGTGATCATCCCTCTGTAGCTCAGCTCAATGGCCCTTATCTTAAACTCACTAATCGCCCATTACTATAGTCTAAACTTTGTCATGCCATTACCCCCTTTTAGAATTTAGCACAGGAAAGAGAAGTAGTTAAAATGCTCTCACAATCTTCATTCAAGTAATTTGGCTTGAGACTCGTAAAACTAAGTCTGCATTCCATCAGAACCGTACGCATATAAGCGAGCAGTTTCCAATGATAAAATGCCCCACGTATGGATGATGTGGATGGAAGGGAAAACCCTGATGTTTGAATTCATAAAATTGGATCGAGATTGAGGGTCTTCAAATTGTCCTAGATGAATGATGGTAATTTATTCTTGAGATTGTCTAAGATAAGATGGAAAAATGTTAATTTGATAATGGTGGGTTGTCCACCAACACCCCTCTCATGCCTAAGCAAGACTTTTGATGAAGAAGTCAAAGTAGTAGGTATTTAGGTTAGGACTCTGAAAATGAGATTCATACATTTATGTCGCTAGTGCCGAGGCAAAAGTATAGATCAAGATCCCCTCTCGATCTTACATGGGTATGGTGTGGTATATTTATACAGATATGTCTGGCAAATCAGAAAGTACATGAGTTACCATCCTGATAGTCGAGGTAATTTTGTGTAGAATTGAGCAACAAAGGGGATATTTGGAGCACAGAAAAGAGGTATTTTATGAGCTATTGGTTATGATTTTGCTTGAAGAGAATTAGAGCTTTGTTGGTAAGATTAATTGGTGAGTTTGTGTGATTTTATAATCTCAGTTTGTACTCTTCTTCTCTATTAGTGAAAGCCCCATCCTCTTCTTGCCCCGTGGACGTAGGTAACTTGCCGAACCACGTTAAAATTGGTTTCTTGAGTTTGTGCTGTTATTTTGCATTGTTTGGCCTTCTCTCGGCGTTTGTTTGTTTTGGTTCCTCGAAGCACATCGGTTTGGTTTTGGCTTCCGTCGCGCACAACAAGTGGTATCGGAGCCCCAACAAGTGATATCAGAGCTCGGACTACGCTTGGGCTATTTGGAGGAGTAGATCATTTTAGATGTTCGGCTAGGGCTTCGTTTGGAGTTAAAGGTGAGATCTTTTTAGTAAAAACTCTATCTTTTCTCAGTTTTGGATCTATTCTTCAGTTTGTTCCGCATTGGTTGTTGGTGTGTTGAGGAAGATGATTGGGAAAGAAGGTACTTCGGGTGTTGAGGGTGGTGCTTCTTGCATAAAGACTATTCAAAATTTGAATATCTACTCTACAAAGATAGATGTGGAGAAGTTTAATGGCACGAACAATTTTGGATTATGGAGATGTGAGGTTTTGGATGCGCTGAACGCATAAAATTTGGAAGATACTATAGAATTGGATGGCAAGCCAGATGATATTGATGAGAAGGTTTAGAAGAAGATGAACAGAACGACGTGTGGTGTGATTTGGTCTTGTTTGACTCAAGATTTAAAGTATCATGTGATGAATGAGACTTCGGCTAAGAAGATTTGGGAGACCCTTGAGAGCAAGTATATGACCAAGAGTGTGAAAAGTCGTTTGCATTTAAAGAGGAGGCTTTATCGCTTCCAATTGAAGAAGGGAACCTTCATTGGTGATCACATGAACCACTACACGAAGCTTCTTATGGAATTGACGAATGTGGATGTTATGATAGAGGATGAGGACAAAGCTTTGTTATTGTTGAGTTCCTTGTCAGATGAGAAATATTAGACCTTTGTTTTTACCCTAATTAATGGGAATGCGTCTCTTTCGTATAGTGAGGTCACCGCTGTACTTGTGAATTATCAGCTTCAAAAGAAAGATAAAGAGTCTACAAGTGACAAAATAGCAGAGGCATTGATCACAAGAGGAAAGAGTCCAAACCGAAAAATAGGAAGTCACAGTCTAGAGTAGGGCATCCTACAGTTGACAAAGATCAATGTGCTTGGTGTAAAGAGACTAGTCATTAAAAGAAAGATTATCCAAAGCTCGGTAATTGGATGAAGAATAAGCAAAAGGGAAAGGGGAAGCAATCATCATCAGAAGCGAACATCATTATATCAGATGGTAATCTTTCTGACTCATCTGTTTATTCGCTTTCTGTTAGTCCCACAGGTTGCTATTCGGAGGAATCCGAGTGGATGTTGGATAGTGGTGCGACCTATCATGTGTGCCCTAAAGGAGAATGGTTCGCCAGTTTTGAGAAGCTAAAGAGTGGTGTGGTGTACATGGGTGACAACCATACATGTCAGATCCTTATGATAGGAATAATTCGCATTAAGATGTATGATGAGACAGTTAGAGAGTTACATGGTATGAGATATGTTCCTTTTTTGAGAAAGAACTTGATCTCGATTAGAGCTTTGGTTGGAGAGGGTTTTAGAGTTCGTATCGAGGACATGATTCTCAAGATTGTGGAAGACTCTCGTATTTTGATGAAGGGTGTCAGGAAGAATAACCTGTACTATTTGATTGGGAATACGGTAACAAGTGGAGAGCTGACTACTTCTACTGATTCGACAAGACTGCGACATTTAAGGCTTGGTCATTCAAGTATTGATTTGGAAAAGGGTGCATCGTCCTGCAATTTTAAGTTTAGTGAACATTTTGATGTGAGCAAGAAGACCAAGGTGAAGTTTGACACCTCTATTCACCGCATGAAGGGTCTTTTTGTGATGGAGTTTACGTGAAGGTAATAAATGTTTGGTTTTCTTTGTTGGTGGTTGTTCTAAGCATGCTTGGGTTGCAACCAAATCCCGATTGGATAAATTCCTAGTAGTCTCTAACAGATTAAAAAAGTGTGAGATTGGTAGAAAGGTGAATGTACTTCATTCTGATTTTGGTGAGAGGTACAAGAGGAACCTGTTTCTACATTTGAGCTGAGCTCACAGCATTTTGAGTCAC